AGATGTGCCTTTTAATAGAAAAGGCTACACGGGGGGGCAGTGTGGTGATAACAGGAACTGTCGACCAAATCATCATTGGACAAGGCGATGATCATTCAGAATTGCGAAACTGATTTTATACAGATTCTAAAAATTCATTAAAATTATAATTCATTAAATCCTGACAAATTAATTTGAATCCTAATAAATCAAAATAATATTTGAATCATGCAACGTGTCATCTTTCCTCGTTATTTTAAAAAAAATTTGAAAGATATGGCTGCGAAAAAAACTATTTAGACGTGATTCTTCTGATCAATATTCTATTGAAGAAAAGCAAATCTCTTGTAGCTGTTTCACATGTTTGTAAAATTAAATGTAAACAGAAATTAGAGCGATGAAAAAGGTAATATAGTTTAAGGCCTCTGAAAATGTAATAAAAATATTTAAAAAAGTTTTTTCCCATAATATATAGAGAAACATGGTTAATACAAAAGATCTAAGAAATGTTGAAAAACAGAAAATACCAAAGTTACTGGGTTAGGGAATATTCATATGGGAGATATCAAAGGAGCTTTGTAGAGATCATCGAACGATAAAAAGAGCTTTATTTACATTATTCGGACCATTGTCCTTATCTTTGTCGCCATATTTATCCCAACGTTTCGGTCGTTGTACGCTCTGGCCTTCTTCAGGTGGTTGGAATGTCGAACTGAACCCTTTATTTGGCTCACTGAGGTAAACTGTTCTAGTTCCACGTGCCATGTTTGATGGAAGTCAGCTATCAGTTATCTCCTGTTAATTTTCCCTCTGAAAGTTCTCCACTGCCTTAACCGGGTATTGAACTCATACTCTAAGGCAGTTGAGAAGGTTCACTATATTAAGATGTAAATACGTCCACGACTTATCGTATGTTTGTTATTTGTCTCTTAGAGGTGTTGGTCAATTGTTGATGATTCTATTACCTTCTTAGAGAGTTACGTGATTTTCTGATATTGGCATAATAACTTCAAACTACACTTTTTACGACAAATCAAATAACTTCTATGTGACATTGTTGAAACTACATAAACATGTTGAGTTACATGTTCAAGGCTGACGTTTAAAATTTAAAATTTGACAAAAATTGTTAAAAGCAAATTCGAGGTATTGAGGTTTACGTAATTTGCATAATAACTTCAGATGGAATGTATATATTACTTCAATTAATGACTTTCTCTCTCTCTCTCTCTCTCTCTCTCTCTCTCTCTCTCTGTCTATATATATATATATATATATATATATATATATATATATATATATATATATATATATATATATATTCCAATACATGATCTCATATGGAGAAACATACCTTCGCTTTTTGTGATATTGTAAAAGTGAATTGCACTACATTTTGACAAATGACAAATCAAATGATTGCTTAAAGATTTCAGCAATCATATATATATATATATATATATATATATATATATATATATATATATACTGTGATTTTCTAAGCGTAGTTTAGATGAGTTATATATATATATATATATATATATATATATATATATATATGACAATTTTTAGTTAGAGCAGAGATTTATTGTGTACAGAGTACACATCTCTTAGAATAAATTAGATTATGGCTTCCTTCCCATCGAGATGTACGAAGCCATTTTCCGTTGAAGTTTGCGAAAATCTTTTGTGAAAGTTATCTTCTTTTCGAGAAGAGGAGAAGGAAAATAAACAAAATGCATCCTTATTTACAGATTCAACGCGAGGTTTGGGATAAAAAAAAAAACACCAACAACAGAAATAAGACGAAAGATGAACGGCAGAAAACTTCCACGTTAAGATATTGCTTCAATTACTACGCTAATTCCTACTCGCAAAGCGAAAAGAAATCTTCGTAGGCTACGGAATGGCAAAGAACTTCACCAAATAGCAGAAACGGTGCAGACTGTTATATAGGAATAATTTGTCGCTGCTAACACTTGAGTTTGAACATAGATCGCCAGAGAAGAAACACAGGCGAATCCATTATTGAATTAAATGGATCACGTGACCATAGAAGAAACGCATAAATAGAAAAATAACGTGACGTCTATACAGATCTCTATTTCTATTCTATCCTCTATTACTATAGGGACTACTATTCTCTACTTTATACACTATACTATTTCTCTATACGGATTACTAAACGAGCGAGTATTATCAAGCAAGTACTATTAGTGCGAGTGTTATTCGAAGGCGTCTGACACCAGTATTGTTCAACGGCGTTACTATAAGTTGTATCTGCGATGACAAAGTCTCTACTACAACGAGCATTACGAAAGTGTCATTTTGACTCGGTGGACCTTGCATGTTCGGCTGTAGCTGTAAAGGTCTGAATTGGGTGGATTAAAGAATGGAGCTAATCTGAACAGTTGCCATGGAAGTAGCGATAGAATAAGCGACAGGCTTGCAAAGTTGCATCTGTGGATTAGAGGACTCAGAGTGTAAAATAATTAATACCCTAAAAGACTGTAAATAAATTTGGGCTCTATCATTGCTGTACTCGTGAGAACAATTTTTTTGTATTTCTTTAAGGCATGGGCTTCTAGGAAGCCCTTTAAGGAGTTTACTGAAATTTTTCCAACTAATCCGAGGGCTCCAACTACAACAGGGATTGTTGTTACTAAGTGCGACATTTTTGAGATTTCGATTCCAGGTTTTTGTATTTTGATAGACTTTTGAAAATTTATTATTATTAATATTATTTCTTCTTTTTCTTCTCCTCCTCCTCCTTCTTCATCTTCTTCTTCTCTTTCTCCTCCTTCTTCCATTTCTTCTTCTCCTCCTCCTCCCCTTCTTCTTCTTCTTCTTCTCCTCCTTCTTCTTCTTCTTCTCTTCCCCTCCTTCTTCTACTTCTTCTTCTTCTTCTTCTTCTTCTTCTTCTTCTTCTTCTTCTTCTTCCTCCTCTTCTTCCTCCTCCTCTTCTACTTCTTCTTTCTTCTTCTTCCTCCTCCTCCTTCCTCCTCCTCCTTCTTCTTCTTCTTCTTCTCCTCTTCCTCCTCCTTCTTCTTCTACTTCTTCTTCTTCTTCTTCTCCTCCTCTTCCTCCTCCTCCTTCTTCTACTTCTTCTTCTCCTCCTCCTCTTCCTCCTCCTCCTTCTTCTCCTCCTCCTTCTTCTTCTTCTTCTTCTTCCTCCTCCTCCTTCTTCTACTTCTTCTTCTCCTCCTCCTCCTTCTACTTCTTCTTCTCCTCCTCCTCCTCCTCCCCTTCTTCTTCTTCTTCTTCTTCTTCTTCTTCTTCTTCTTCTTCTTCTATATGACGTGTCCCTTCAGGACATGAGAGATTATATTCCTTGTCTTTTGTAGCTCTTAGCAATTTCCGCATTTTTCTTATCATACCCAATTCCTGCTGTGCCAACCATTTTCCCACCATCGTTAGGTAGGTTATTCGTTGCTTTCCTCTGCCGCTCTTACTTTTAATATGCCCTGCCAGTATCAAATTTTCCAAGCCTCCCTTCTTCAATATGTGCCCTAGAAATGTCTCTCGTGCTAATTAAGAGTTCTTTTAGCTCACATTTCCTTAAAGCATGGAGAAAGGTCTAAACCTCAATTGCAAGAAGTCGGAATGTGTCGTTGTCAGTTAAAGAAACGGCCTAACACGCAAACTACAAATTGGCATAACAGTTCAGTTCTCATTGGTTTGTTTTTAACGAAATGTCTCTATTGCTTAATACTTTGCTTAACTTCTGGAAGGCATCTTTGGCTATCCCACTGCTCCTTAGGATTTTATTGTCGCATTTCACGTCAAAGCACGTTCCACATATTTAAAATTGTACTTTTTTGACTTCGATATCTCCAACTTGTAATTTGTGTGTTATGCCGTTTCTTTTGCTGACAATCATGCATTCTGTCTTCTTGTAATTGATGGTTAGTCCTTTCTTCTTGCTTTCCTTCACTGCCTTCTGTAGGAATTATTGCAGTTTCTGAGTTTGCTATCAACACTGTGTCATCTGCATATCTTATGCTGTTAATATTGTGGCTGCCAATAATAAATTCTGGTAGGACTTCTAATTCTTTCAGAATTGCTTCACTGTATAAGGTGAATAAGTCTGGTAAGAAGACACATCCTTGTCTTACACCCTTTTCAGTTTTTGTATGCAAATGGTTTGCTGCCATTAAAGGTTCTAGATTATTCTAATATCCTTCCTATATATGTCATAGTTATGTAGCAGTTTTAACAGTACCTTGTGATGTACTTTAAAGTAATAACTAGAATTATAAAAGCAATTATCATCTTCACCATCTTTATCAGTACCATGACAGGATGTGGTCATAGGGATATTGTGCAGTAGAACACCTGACAAGCTCCCTCCATATGTCTCAGTTGTATTATTGTAGTTTCCTTTCTATATCTGCTATCAGTACTGTGCCATTTGCATATCTTATGTTGTTAATATTGTGGCTGCCAATAATGAATTCTTGTAGGACTTTTAATTCTCGCAGAATTGCCTCACTGTATAGGGTGAATAAGTCTGGTAAGAAGATACATCCTTGTCTTACGCCCTTTCAATTTTTGTATAATTACTCAATTTATTTTCTATCTGTATGCCATTCCTTTTGCTGACAATCATGCATTCTGTCTTCTTGTAATTGATGTTTAGTCCTTTCTTCTTGCTTTCCTTCACTGCCTTCTGCAGGAGTTATTGCCGTTTTTATGTTTGCTATCAACACAGTGTCATCGGTATATCTCATTGTTGTGGCCAAGTAATGGTTAAGAAATCAGACAAGAGGTCGCAGATAAATAGTGTATTGAACAGTAAATACAACAAAAGTGTGTTACACGACTTGGGAGTGTGTGTCGGTTGACCACAAGGCTTATGTTTCGTACTAACTTTATATTATGTGGAAGAGTCCACAATAGCCTCGTTAGAGGGAAGGCGCCACAAAACTTTTGTTAGTATTGTGTCCGTCAATAATGAATTTTGGTAGGATTTCTAATTCTCTCAGAATCGCCTCACGGCATCATAGTAACTTTGTTAAGAAATGGCTTTCGCTTATGTTAATGTTAATCCTGTCTTCTCGATATTCCAGTAATCTTCGTGATTTTCTTGAAGCTGTATTATGGATTCTTTCAAAGTGCTAATTATTTCTCTTTCTTAAATTTTCATTGTACCTTGCTGAAAATAAAACAACAAACACCCATTAACAAACGTTTCTCTTCTGGTCAGCTTCTTCCAGATAATGTGTGTTTTCTACCTTAAAAAACGATTTCTGTTGAATGGAGCAAAAAGAGTGAGAGCGATAAATCTCAAGATTTAGGTAATTCTTGATATTTACAAAACCATTATGTCAGATGCTACTTGTACTATGTAAAGTAGGACAACCTGCTGTATGATTGGGTCATCGGCGAATAAGCCGGTCCCTCCACCAGGCTTTTTTTTCTGATGTGGATAGTAGCTAGGCACCCAGCAGGATTTTAAAAAATCTCTCAAAGGACAGATAAATTTTCTTGTAAGGACAACGGACATCCAGCATAATGATGTAGACAGATGGGTTTTATAGCTGTAGATGCAATCAGTGCAGTGGAGGTACAGCATTGCTTAGAAAAGGGCTCCCTCGACTGAAGTCAACGGCTAGGGTCGAAGCATTCTCCGATTAAATCAACGGCTACGTGTACGTAAGGCTAGTCTTCATGTTCGATGATATCGGCTGTGGTTTGACCTGGAGAGGGATGGGATCCTCCAGGTGTACTTACTCAAGACCCGCTACGCATGAATGAATACGTCTACGATCACACCCCTGAAGTGCAAGAAGAGTTTAACCCGCAGAAAAATCCCCACTGTTTCTTTCTGTTGTGGTAAAACCTCCTACCGGAGAAAGAACTCTTCCTCCTCTCATAAATACAAACTGCGAGAGTCGGTTGAGCTCGGGCGGGTTTTAGGCAATAGTAGACGCAGTGCTAATCTACCGGTCGGGCGTACACCTCTAGCTATTTATTACTAACACTATTGTTTTGTATATATCTTCAATATACCTACTTTAACCTAACTTCGTCTTCCGTGTTTTTCTTTCTGGGCTCCTCAACAGGCCACAACACTTTCCCTAAATTTAATTCGAAATCCATTTACTACGCGTATCTATTTTTTCAAAAATTTCTAAAAGACACCATAAAGTTGATTGGCCCCACTAATTAATAAAGGGATTAAAAAAAAAAAAAAGAAAAAACACTTCTAAAATTTTTCTCGAAAAATAGTTCTGGGGATTTTATGACAGTGTGTTAATGGCAGATATAGAAAGAAAACTGCTTGGATGTTGAAAAAACAGAGTGAAGAAGAGAGAAAATTAAAGGCTGACTGTAAATTGTCAGAAAGCAGAATATACGATTGTCGACAAGAAGGGCAATTCAAGATACGAGTTATGAACTGAAGACGTCAGAATAAAGTAATTGCAGACATTTTGACTATACTGGATATGTGATAACAAACGTCTGAAACTGTGTCACAGAAATCTAAATCAAAGAGCGAAAGATTCCTTCGAAATGCTAAACAAAATATTTAAGTTACAGGAAATTATCATTATATATACAGAAAAGAGTGCAGAACTGTTATACAGTGTGTCCATAAAGTTCGCGTGCACTTTAAAAAATTTATAACTTTATTTGTATTTGCGATAGAAACAATCTGTAAAAAATGTTATAAAATTTAATGTACCTAGTTTTAAGTATAGCTAAAATAACTAATGTGATTTAAGGCATTACTGTAAATCAATTGGCAAATGTTTTCCGTGAACTGCAAATTCGTATTACCCTTTGTAGTGCTAATGATGGAGCACATGTGGAAACTTAAAATTCCAATAAAACCTTAATATAGATTTACTTCTTTCTAATCCTTTTTACAAATTATTTCTATCGCAAATACAAATAAAGTTATAAATTTTTTAAAGTGCACCCGAACTTTATGGACACCCTGTATATAATCATAACTTTCCAAAATGGCAGTGAATGCTGTGCAGTTTCCTCAATGATGAAGTGGCGATCTGAGGCAACATAGATCTTGTTCTACAGAAGAATAATATGGATTCTCATACTGAGAATACCATGAAATATGTGCACAAGAAGACATCTTTGATAAAAAGGGAAATACAAGGGACATTTGTGCTTAGAGTCAGAGAGCGAGAGAGTTAAAATTTCTGAGACATACTATGAGAAAAGAAGGCTTGGGAATTCGACACTCACGGGATTTATTGAAAGCAATACAATGTGAAACGTCGATTAAACTACTTAACCAGGTTCTGTAAATGGATGGCAGAACGGGGATTGAGAATAAAAAAGGGAGACCAACGTTGTTCAGAGCTACATATAGGAAGTAGTGGAGAGCTATGATCATTCGCTTTATGAAGGTACATGGCACGTGAAAGAAAAACAGTAAGGATTGAACACCTAATATTGGGGGGTAAATACAACGCTATCTAGCCCATCAGACAGGCCAATTCAAGTTTATGAAAATGTATATCATTGACTTTATTTGCAACTAGTTTTGTTTTCTTTTTCTCTTTTGTGGTGTTTTTTTTCCATCTTATCTTTATTTCAAGAGAAAAAATATCTTTCTCCTTTTTTCCTTCTTTTTCTTTCCTTTTTTTTATTGATCCCTTCTCTTTTCTTTTCTACTTCTTTCTCTTCTTGCTCTCTTTTTTTTTCTATCTCGTTCCTTCCACAGCCGCCATTTTTATCTATATTCTCATCTTTGTCGCTTCCGTCGTCTTCTTTTCACATATCCTTTCTACTTTATATCATGACTTTTCCATGTCGTCTGCTTCTTCGTTCTTTTCTTCTTCTTCTTCTTCTTCTTCTTCTTCTTCTTCTTCTTCTTCTTCTTCTTCTTCCCTATCACTTTGTCGATCACGTACATTTTTCGGCTTCAGGTCATTCCAGTACAGTGGCAGTGGGACAAAAACTCTACTAAATCTAGACTGCTTTATGGCTAAATGTTTTTATGGGAGAAATATTCATTCTTTTTTTCATAATATTCTAATGAATTCGTCTGCACGAAAGAAGTGAACGATAAAGTGGCAATTCATATTAGTTTCTTTAACGTTTTCCTTATTTTTTTTTCTCAACTAGTCAAATATTTTCTTACATTAAGGTTTACCCCGTACAAAGCCAGAGGGTCATTCGTGGTAGATACTTACAGAGTAAAAGGCACAGTGTATGCAGATACGTGTGGAAGATAACGGTTAACCCTAAACTTGAACAAGATAAAACTGTAGTGATCTAGGAAGCATGTCCATTTTGGGTCGGTTCCACAAGTGGTTTGCAGAAAGAAGCTGTAGGAGTAGAACTAACATCTCACTAATGGGATATGAAGGTAATGAGGGTGGTTCGTTACAATAGCATTTCATTCTCGTTTGTTATCTCAAAATTTGCTGCCGATTTCATTGTTCATAATTATTTGCTTAAAGCTCATTTCAAACCTGCTCTTTTAACTGGGGTACGTATGTAGTTTAACCCTGTAGAAACCTCTGTTTAGAGTGCACAACTTTAAGACCATCAAATCGCATGCTTGGCCGGTTTTAAATTCAGCTATTTTTTTCTTTCAGATTGGTTGCCAACCACATGTAAAGAGACTGATCTCTGCTACTAAACCTTTAGAATCGGAGGAGCATATTTTTACGCCAATGTTCATTCAATACAAACCTTAAGAGCTTTATTAAATGGGGTTCTTTTATGGCCGTAAGAATTCTAGATTATGAAGTCATATCGGATAGATTAAGACTCTACACCTGAAGAGATTAAGATTGCAGAAAGTCTGTTCCACAAAATAGCAGCACTTGGAAGGAAGTTGTCCGTGTGTAACTTCCTCCTTACCAATGGAATACACGAAGGAAATAAGTATAATTCGACCCTATGTACATAGGTTGTCGGGTTTTACCGGACTATGTCTTAATTAGTAGAACCAGGGAATGTACCTCACCATCTTCTATTGAGTAGCGATAAACTTGCTACGTTAGGTCTGTGTGAAAAGGGGTTGTATGTTAGTAAATAATTCATCGTCTACAAGCTCGTTTGAGTTCTTTTTATTTCTCTGTCATATTTCTTAAAGATTCGTGGTTCTCCACACCTTACTATGTTTTGTGGTTCTCAGAAATACTTCCTTTTTGCTGACCCCGCTTTATCTTTGTAGAAATTCTTTAGCTTTCTCGACTTCTCTTGCCGCTGGTGTATCGTGTTATGCCCTATTATTCTTGCCCCTCCCCCCATTGTATGTTGAAGACGGATGATTCTCCACATTTTCCTACCATTTCCTCTTCTCAGCAATACTTGCATTTTTAAAGGCCCTTTTCTCTTTCCTCCATCCATTTGTAGCGCTTGTTCCTCCATCCATTTGTGGCATTTGTTCCTGTATCCATTTGAAGTACATAGTCCTCCATCCATTTGTGGCATTTGTTCCTGTATCCATTTGAAGTACCTAGTCCTCCATCCATTTGTTGAACTTCCTCATCAATTTATTTGTGGTTCTCGTTATTTTATCCATTTTTGCTACCTGTGCCTCCATCCATTTGTGGCACTTGTTCCTCCATCTATTTGTTGCACTTGCTCCTCCATTCATTTGCGCTACTTTCATTTTTCAACGTGCTTCTCCATCTACTTCTGAAACTTTTTACGGCATCTATTTTTACTACTAGCCCCTATATCCATTTGTTACAGTTGTTCCTCCATCCATTTGTGGCACTTGTTCCTCCATCAATTTCGAGCAAACGTTCCTCCATCCATTTGTTGTACTTACTCCCCCATTGAGTTGGGATTCTCGTTATTGCATCCATTTTTGCTACTTGTCCTCCATCCATTTTGCTACTCGTGCGTCCACCCATTTGCGGCACTTGTCCCTCCATCTATTTATTACACTTGCTCCTCCATTCATTTGAAGTACTAATTCCTCCATTCAAAATTCAACGTGTCCCTCCATCCAATTGTGGAACTTATACCGCCGTCTATTTTTGCTACTAGTCCCTCTATCCATTTGCGGCACGAGTTCCTCCATTAATTTGTTGCACTCCTCCATCCATTTGTGGTACTTGTTCCTCCATCTATTTTTGCTACTAGTCCCTATATCCATTTCCATTGTTCTCTCGTCTTAATAAAGTTTTTTTTTTCCTTCATATTCTCTAATATTCAACAAATCCATTGTGAATAATACCTGAAATGGGAATGCCCAAAATTTACTGTCTATCCTCGAAAGAGTTCAAAATCGCTTACGCGGCCTTGTTGGTGATGAATTATTTCCCACTCGGTCGCTCCTTTTCCACAGTCACAACGCCACAAGACTTTCGCTACTCTATTGCGATTTCCACGACGAGTTCCTGTCTTTACTGTACCAGTTCAGGCCTTTCCAATCAAAACCAACCTTGCTACGTCCGCAGGGTTAAAACACACTCATTCCGTACGTATTCGTTTAGTAAAAAGAACGAAAGCCCCTTCCCAAGAGCCGCCACTTTGTGGTACATACTCCCGTTTGCATCCTTCCTCAAACACTACAACCTTAGCCTCTTCATGTCATTTGTCGATCTGCGATACCGTTGTAATCTTCACTTCCTAGATCTTCCTCTTACGTTCATATCTTACATTTCATTCTGTAAGCTTCTGCCTAGTGTGTCTCTTGGGCCTTGGGTTGGATAAGTTTGAGTAAAACTGTTATATACCTTACCCATGAACACTAATGGATAGGTCTCAATCCTCATAAATACGTCGGACAATATTGTAAGTCGGGGGTAATATGCTGTCTATGTAGTCCAACACTAAGAGTGGTTTACCTACTTCAGGCCGCTGGCGAGTATTGTATTTTGTTGATATTATAAAGATTATCATATCATTTCCAACCTCCGTTATGGTTATTCCTCATTCAGTAACACTTTCTAGGTTACAACACAGACAGAGGATAAAATGGTCATACAAGAAATGGGCCTGTTGGAAGAATTCATATCTAGCGTCAAGTATAGAAAGTTGAAATGTTGTGGACACGTCATAAGAGCAAACAATCTTTTCACTGACACCCTACAAAAGTACCACCTTAAGCAAAAGAAGAGGCAGGGTGTTATATACCGTACCTATGAACACTAATTGATATTTCCCAATCCTCATAAATATATTGGACACTATTGTAAGTGGGGGTTAATATGCTGTCTAAGTAGTCCAACACTAGCAGTGGTTTACCTACTTCACGCCGTTGGCGAGTATTGTAATTTGTCGATGTTATAAAGATTACCATTTCATTTCCAACCACCGTTTTGGTGACTCCTTATTCTGTAAGCCTTTCTAGGTTACAACAAAAACTAATAAAAAAAACTAGATGCAGTCATTTTTTTTTTAGATTAGCTTAGTCTGGTATAAGTCCACATGAAAAGTATTAGAAACATGGAGTATTTCTGTCCAGTCTTCTCTTTCCAATCGTGATAGACCTCGGACTCATTTATGCAGTCTTGTGGAGAAAGACATATTTTCTTCTGCCGAAGACAGAACGTAGCAGGCCTATCACCTTTATCGCTATTTCCATGGCAAGCGTTCGCATGAATTCAAATCTTCAGTTCGACCAATTCTGACCTTTACAGCTAAGACCCACCATGATACGTCCTTCCGTATTATAATGAGGAGAGCAAGTTCCACTCAGGAAGCCTTTTCCCAAGAATCGCTATATCGAGGAAAAAAAATCCCGTGCGGATCTTTCTCGAGCGGAACAATCATATCCTTCTCAAGACAAGGGTCAATTATTATCTATCTACCTTATCCTCATAATCTGTTATAGTGGAACACACCTATTCTATAGTTAATATACTCTCCCACCTATAATAAGTAGGAGTAGTAAGAGTAACGAGGGAGTTCGCTTAGTGGGTCGGTCAGTCAGTCGATGCCGGACGACCGTTAGTCGGATACTAAAAGTATCAGCGACCACAACTAGATTTCTCTGCGTCATTACCTATTATATGAAGTTCCTAACGTTTTGTACGTCGAACCTATTTTAGGACCGACTTAGTACAAATACAAGCCTCTACTGTAAAACCACTCCATAACATAATCTTAACTCGCTATTTTCTGTACTTATATATTCCTGGGTATAACGGTAAACTACATCCGGCATCAAGGCTTCTGATCGGGAGATTGGAGGTTTTGAGCAGCTTGAAGCCACCTCTTAATTGCTGGTGTTCCCAGGTCCACCCTGACCCGCGGTGGTAACACCTGTTAGGGTCCCAGCTATGGGCAAATAGTGAATCCCCAAACAAAACACTATGAAAATATAAAAACACATTTTATAGTAAAAAAATACTAGCAATATATTTTTATATAAAAAAAATGTCCAACAATACATATTTATAGTAAAATAACTAGCAATACATTTTATAGAACTAGCAGACTTCGCCCGCTTCGCAAAGTAAGATATATTCAACACTTGAAATCTTTGAAACAAAAATTTTAAATGAGCATTTTAAGTCATAAATTGGCTTGTTAGGAAAGTTTTACAAATAGATGCCAACTTGTTGAAGGTCATGTAAAATGCAAATTTCAAACACTTCTCTCACTATATAAGACAATATTCCTAAATAGAACTATTTTTGATATGAAAATCAAAACAATCCTCGGATAAAAGAACAGTAATGAAAGACAGTTAATTAATGAAATATATTTTTTAAAATCAATATGTAAATTAGTTAAAGCTGAAGAGTGATATTGTCTATAAGTAGGGGGCATCTCGGCGTGGTGTAATGGTTAGCAAGCTTGTCTCGCTAGAACAATTCCGACTGAGTAGTGAGTTTGATCCTCACTGGGTGCTCCATACTTCCGGCCTTGTGCCACAACTAGCAGTGCTTAGAAAATCACTATGTAGAGCTGGGATTTTTTAATCTCAGAATTCATGGGAGAATTAGCTCCAACTTTGCATTTATTCATATAGATTCCATAATCTAGGTTTTACTTTATTAGCTATTATGTTTCTTTAACTCTTCAAATGTCGAATGTATAATTAATTCTATTTTCCCATATTTACACTATATTAATTTTATCTAATAAATTGTCCCCTGTTCTGTCACCCATGAAATAAAAATAATTGTTTGTACGGAAAATAAGGATCTACGTACATCAAATTTAAATTAAGTGGCAGCAGAAGAATTATCGTTGTCGTGAACTTTTCAAAGGTAAGCTTAAACATTAATTCAATACTTAAATGCAGCGATCAATTTTGAGTTCTTCTATAGTTTATTGATGCCTATCTCATCTACTCCTCCCTAGCTATTGTGATGATGGCTAAACCAAGAGTTCTCCACAGGAGCTAGCTTACATACCACCCGATAGAGGGCCTTTTAAGCTAGCTTAAAATTTTAAGCTAGATGCAATTTTGGATACAAAAGGAAAATAAGAGTTACTCTCATTCAACCATGAAAGCATCGATAATGGCTAGTATAATATATTGATATATATTTTTAACCTGACAATCCTAAATCTGAGCTATGAATCATTGAAATCGGACCAATGAGAGCGAAGGAGTTGCTTGGACACCCACCGGCAGAAACACACATACACTGTACTTTATATATAAGATTACCAGTAATACATTTTATAGAAAAGGGCTAACAATGCTTTTTATCTGTGGTTGACGGTATACAACGCTTTCAAAATATATATTTAAAGGCATAAAATTTTGTTCAAAATGTTTAAATTTTTGCATTAAATAACCCATAGAGGCGTTGATATGCCGCTAAACAAAAGGAAACAAACTGTTCTTATATTTATATGGCACGACACTACCTTGAGTGGCTCTTGGTCTTTATATCTGGTAAACATTATTGAAAGAAAAAGAAAAGAAAATGACATGCAACTTATGGTAAGCACTTGTTTGTGTTCGCTTAGCCTTGAGAAAGTAAGTATCCCCCAAAGGTAAAAACTCAGACAATGTCAAATAATTTGTCAGCGGCAACCGTTTTTTTATTTTTTTATTTGCTAAAACACTATCTAGACAGAAGATATGATCATTTTATTCCTTATAAATACTATTTTTCCTAGAGGACATTAGACAATACCTGTCACCAAAGAGAATATCAAAACATTTTTGTTTAACTGGTTTCTCTTCCAATGGGATTACTGCGTCCAGTTTAAGGGTAAGTGTTAGGTAAGGTTGTAGTGGTGTGTAGAAATTCTACTCATAAATACAGTGTGTGTGTGGGGGGTGCATATTACTAGTCGAAAGATGATAACACAGATACACGCATACACAAAATGGAGATATGGCAGCCATTACGTATTTGAGTTGAACTTCATTGGCGAAAATTGATTCACGGGAAAGCGAAATGAAATGGAGAACATAAAAATAACAAGAGTATGATAAAAAAAAAAACGACACAGGAGTAGAGGAGGTAGAGGGAACGAGAAGACAGAGAGAGAAGGATAGCAACTGTAAGAAAAGAGTGACCCACAAGAGGAACAGAAATCACAGAGAGAAAAATAGCAACTGTAAGCAAAAAGGGACCCACGAGAGGAACAGAAATCACAGAGAGAAAAATAGCAACTGTAAGAAAAAAGGGACCCACAAGAGGAACAAAAATCACAGAGAGAAAAATAGCAACTGTAAGAAAAAGGGGACCACGAGAGGAACAGAAATAGCGGAGAGAAAGATAGCAACTGTAAGAAAAAGGGGACCCACAAGAAGAACAGATATCACGGAGAGAAAAATAGCAACTGTAAGAAAAAAGGGACCCACAAGAGGAACAGAAATCACAGAGAGAAAAATAGCAACTGTAAGAAAAAAGGGACCCACAAGAGGAACAGAAACCACAGAGAGAAAAATAGCAACTGTAAGCAAAAAGGGACCCACAAGAGGAACAGAAATCACAGAGAGAAAAATAGCAACTGTAAGAAAAAAGGGACCCACAAGAGGAACAAAAATCACAGAGAGAAAAATAGCAACTGTAAGAAAAAAGGGGACCACGAGAGGAACAGAAATAGCGGAGAGAAAGATAGCAACTGTAAGAAAAAGGGGACCCACAAGAAGAACAGATATCACGGAGAGAAAAATAGCAACTGTAAGAAAAAAGGGACCCACAAGAGGAACAGAAATCACAGAGAGAAAAATAGCAACAGTTGGAAGAAATGGACCCACGGGGGGGACCGGAATTCACACAGTGTAAAATAGCAGCAGGGTGTCAGAAGCAACAGAGGAAAATAGCGACTGTAGTTAAAAAAAAGGACACATGAGGGAAGAGAAGTTAGAGAGAGAAACATAGCAACAGTCGCAAAAAAGTGAAATACGATATGACAAAGAACATAGAGAGAAAATAGCAACTGTAGGGAAAAAAAGGGACTTGCGAAGAATGAGAATTCTCAGAGCGAAAATAGCATCAGTGGGAAAAAGAGATGCACGAGAAAAAAACAGAATTCACGGAGGAAAAAATATCAACAGGAGGGGAAAAGGAGCCACGAGAGGAACAGAAGAAACAGAAAATAGCAACCGTAACAGGAAAAGGAACCAACGAGGAACAAAAATCACTGAAAATAATTGCAACAGTAGGAAAAATAGGCCCCATGTTGGAATAGATGTCACAGATAGAAACAGAGCAACAGTAGGAAGAAAAATAGCAACAATAGGAACAACGGAGTCGGCGAGGTGAACAGAAGAAATAGGGAGAAAATAGCGACAGTAGGTAAAAAAGGGAACATGAGTAACAGAATGAAATCTAGTAATAGGAGGTTGAAAGGAGTGCATGAGGAGAAAAGTCACAGAAAGCAAAATAGCAACTCCAGGAAAAGAGCGTCTCACGAGGGGATGATAACCCCAAGGAGAAAAATAATATCAGTAGTAAAAAAAAGAAACCCATGAGGGACCAAAAGTCACAGTGAGAAAATAGAACGGTGGGAATATAGCGTATCACGAATGGAACAGAAGTTACAGAGTGAAAATTGCAACTGATATATATATATATATATATATATATATATATATAGATATATATTTTGAATTTTGAATATATATATATATATATATATATATATATATATATATATATATTTAAAAAGAAAAACAGACCACTTTCAGGTTCCATTATAATAATTTCACCAGGGCCCTTTTAAAGGACTTCGGATTATCAGATAGCACTTCCAAAAGAGGAAACGAAAATATTTAAAATATTAAAATAAAATAAAATAAAAATATTTAAAATATTAGCTCTGGATTTACATTGAGCTCTCAGGATTTCATCATCTTTGGGATTACCCATACGGATTACCAAGTTTTTAACTTAACTACATATATATATATATATATATATATATATATATATATATATATATTTGGTTGGATAGATGTGAGTTTGTGACCCTGGGTTTCACGCTTTAGCAATCGTCAGACAAACTGATTAGTTTTTTAAAAAATTTGGGTTTATGTAGATTGCGTGTATTGGTGTTATTGTGGAAGTGGTGGGGAACATTTCGTCGCTTATGTCATCGTACTAACGCAAACATCGATGTATGTAGACACATATGCATACCTGGTCATCCGTCGGGACTCATACATATATAAACATATGTGGGCAGTTTCGGATATGACATATGTATGTATACGGGTGGTGTTGTGTCTATACATACGCATTTGTATGTTGAAATGTTGAAATTTAAAGATTGGAAGTGTGGCGGAAATGTCTCGTGTATGTCTCGTGAATGTATACATGTGATATTATTTATTTTTCCGCTGAATATTTCCTCGCATGTATGTATGTATATACGTGTGGTGGGGTTTGTGTAAAATTATGATAGGTAATATATATATATGTGTGTGTGTGTGTGTGTGTGTGTGTGTGTATAATATATATATATATATATATATATATATATATATATGCAGTTATTAATAAAAAGGGTTCACATTAATGCATGCAAGATTTTTTAGATCTACCTTTATTGAAACTTCATATTTAACCGACTACAAAATATTCAACACAAACTGATATATATATATATATATATATATATATATATATATATATATATATATATATATATATATATATATATGAAAAGTGTATATAAATATAAATAAATATATATATGTATAATTATTTATATATTATATACAACGTTTTTATTAGAAAGCGCTCAATATGAAAGATAGAGCTAACATATTTGGTTGGATAGATGTGAGTTTGTGACCCTGGGTTTCACGCTTTAGCGATCGTCAGACGTGAAACCCAGGGTCACAAACTCATATCTATCCAGCGGATATATATATATATATATATATATATATATATATATATATATATATATATATAAATATATATAAGTATATATAGAGAGAGATAGAGAGAGTAACACTAAGAATATAGCGTAACTATAATATATATATATATATATATATATATATATATATATTAATTGATGTCAACTCTTTTTTTTATTAATAACTGCATAAGTATATATATATATATATATATATATATATATATATATATATATATATATATATGCAACTATTAATAAAAAAAATTTGACTTCAATGTATGCAAGGTTTCATAGTTAACCGACAACAAATTATTCAAACCAAACTTATATATATATATATAATTATATATGGTCATTCACAGACTGTTTTGGTGTATCTCAGTTCATTATCTGTGGAGCATGACAGAAACATCAGTTGGGGTAAGATATGCGATTGCTTCAATCCAGGACCGCAACCCGTTCGATTTGACATCATTTGGAGACTCACCTTTAAGCCATCAGCACACGCGACAGAGAAAGAGAATTTTTAACGAGATTCTCCATACGAAATATACACATTACCAGATACCAGAGTGCTCAATTCATAACGAAGAGATTTTAGCATTAATTAGCAGCAGCCGACAAATCCTCTTAATTCGAAATTACTCAACTTACGAGAGGTGACATATATATATATATATATATATATATATATATATATATATAGGATGTTTCAGAACAATTGATATTTCGTAATGCTTCAAAACTTGCTCATTGATAAGCTCATTGTAAATGAACACTAACACTTGAAGTTTACTGTGCGGGATTATCTCAATGAGAATCTGACATGAAGATAGATCGGACGTTCTGGTGATGAAGACAATGTACTGTTGAAATGGCAGCCACGTTCACCTGACTCGACAAATTGCAATTATTTTTCAACTTTGGCAATGTGAAGAGACTGATCTATGTCCACCCTCTTCTTACAAGCCTAGATGAATTCAAGAAGAGACTTACTGACGTACTAAAGACTGCTACGGAAAGCATGCTACAACGTGTTTGGCAGCAGCTGAACTACCGACTTGATGTGTGCCGTGTCTCAGGCGGTGCACATATTGAAGACTTGTGATATCGTTCATGACATCCAGATACCTTTGAATTGTTATTTTTTTTCATCAATACGACTGTCTAGTTTAATTTTGCTAAACTATGTATTTACTCAGATATTTACATCTCAACTTTTCTGGAAACACACACTATATACATACGTATTGTGTTTGTTTGGGCAGCAATCCTTCTTTTATACAAGTTTCGTTAAAGATGACGAACAAGACGCTGCGATTAAAATGTTTATTTCATTTTTTCCTTTGTTCGTACAAGGGTTTATTTTATGGACACAAAGTGTAGAAAAACTGCCCCAACGTTCTACATATCGGGGCGTTGCGGCTATAATTTTAACCATTATCAAGGACTATTTTATTTTTTTACAAGCCGAATTACCCGCGTCTTGCTGCGTGTCACACTTGTTTTGTAAGAAAATGATAATTGATTTGAAATTTGTGGAGAAAAATGATCCATTTCAATATTATTCAATAATCTTGCCGATGTGACCTCCATCTTCTGTTTTTTTCCTTCCATATTTTGGATATCAGTCATTCATTTGTTTAAATTTAAATTCAATCTAAATCAAAGGGAAAACAATCAATGGGGGTTCGTGCAAGAACTGCTTGATCTAACCCCTTTAGTATGTATTTGATGCAATACTTGATTGAATGATGAGCAGATTTCAATATTAATATAACTGTTAAATTGCCGCAACTAATATATATTGTAAGGCACTACCAACTGATTGGTGATTTCTTGCTCAGCTTGTGGTTTATATTGTCTCATTTTGATCTTGCCGATGTGACCTCCATTTTCTGGCTTTCTTCTTTCATATTTTGGATGGGAGTCATTCCCTTGTTCAAATTTAAATCAAATGGAAAATAATTTAATTTGGGGGTTTGTGACTCCCCACCACGTGGAGCCCCTTTGATCAGAATGAAATATGGTTATTCAAGTACCTGATTAATGTAGTTTCATATGGTTATGAGAGTCTATCTCCAGAATCATAGTAGGAGTTCTATAACAAAGAAACCGACGGACAGATGCTAAATCTTTTTATATATAGATTTTTAACTGAATGTGTGAGGTTTTTTATGCTTATACTGATTGTTGGCGTTTTATTTTTTTATTATTAGTCCTTCCATTATTTTTAGTATTTTTTTACATGTGGATTTGGATTTTATACGTTAATTTCTGCTAGTTACAGATTGGGTTTATACACACACACATATATATGTGTGTGTGTGTGTGTAAAATTTCAGATATAACTAAAGTATATCTGTAAAAGGACAATAAGAATAAAGACAAAATATGCTGATATCGAATTGTAACAAAATATAAATCTACGCCTCGGAATTTTTCTTTAAATATCTCCTTTCCTGAAAGAATTACTCTTTTCTAAGACACATACATGACTATAAAGATGTTAAAAGTTAAGAGAAAACTATTCAATTCATGGCTTCCCTTATTTAAAATACATAATTACATAAATTTATCCAATACTAAAATAATTTAAATAGTAATTGATTATAACAAATCAACATTTACTCATTTTTGTTTATTAGACATAAAGTTACATCACTTAGCGTCTTCCTTAATTTGCCTAGACTTTTCATTTAAACTGATTAATATTAGTGAGTACCCCTTAAATTAAAAAAAAATTAAAAAACTAACAAGACTTTTACTTTTGTCTATAAAATTTTTTAGAAGTGAAATCCTCTCATTTGTGTTGATAAAGTCTATCAGAGGACAAAACGCGTTGGTAAAGATAAGTTTTCCTTTTGTTTTTATTCACATTGTAGTTGTATCTGAAATTCTTTACACACACACACACACACACACACATATATATATATATTAGACAAATCAACATATTGTATACACTAGAAATTTAGATTACATTAGGTTAATGATCATTTTCACCTTGTAAATTGAAATAAAATTTACAAGGATTTACATTGACTGGTTTGAAAAATCCTTGTAAGTATTAATTCAATTTACATGGTGAAACTGATCATTAACCCAATGTAATCTTAATTCTATTGTATAATATATATATATATATATATATATATATATATATATATATAACGTACTTTTCTTTTCGAAATCTGACTGCCAAAATTTCCCCTGCATCCAAGGTCAGGTTTGGGGTCAAGCTTAGAAAATATGAACCTTTTCCACTGGTGTATGGTACTGGTTCTAGAAAATTTCTCTAGAAATTTATCGTTCTTAAATTTAAAAATATTGCAAAACATTTTTCATTTTGTTTCGTTATGTTCATAAATACTTGTTGCAAAATAAAATCCTTACATTTGGCTTGATAAACTCCATCAGAGGATTTCTTTAGGCTAAAATAATTTTATATATATATATATATATATATATATATATATATATATATATATATGAATGCGCAAAAAGGCGCAGATGATAATTTTTGTGTGAATCAAAATACCAAAAGCGAGAAACAAAGACATATTTTTTTGGCGTGTTGGAATGAGTCAGTGGGAGCTGGGTCTCTATCGCTACTACCTCTGCTATAACCATAAGGCTTTGTCTCGTTGACAGAATCGAATCAAGTGAAGAACAACAGAGGAGGAAAAGTCTGAAAATATTCAGAAATCAATTCTGTTTCCAAGTCGCAAATCTGGATAGTATTGATCTTATCTTTGCAGACATTTTATCCGGCGAGGGCAGTTCGGGGAGCACCCGCTTCTATTCTGAGCCAAGTGGCGCTGGCCTGAGGCAAGCTAACATTTCTCATAAGGAACTTACATTAGACTTTTTTTTAGAACAAGAATATATAAAGAAAGAAAAAAAATTATATATATATATACGGGGTGATATGGGTAAATTGTCGCTAATTTAAATTTCTAATTTCGCGCATGCGCGTTGTTTGTTTTTGATTTCGTCGGCTGCACCGTATAGTACATTCAGTTAGACGCCGTCTGTGAGAAAAAAGACCACCGTGACACAATTCACCCTGTCAGAAATTTGCAAACGGTAGGCTGTACTGCTTGGCATTCGCGCCGGAAACCCTAGCACGAACATTTCAGTGTAATTGGTTGTCAATCACAAGACAGTGCAGAGTATTCGATTATGTCAGAGTACTCGATTCATGTTCGCATGCGGTCCCAAAATAAACACGTTAAGTGCACCTAGGAGGTCAAGAGGGTGGCTGCTAGAAGAACCTATGTCTGGTAACAGGACTCTGAACAATGCCACACAAGCTCCTGCTTTATTCGGACTATAGTCCTCACCTTTGTCGCCATATTTATAACAACGTTTCGGCCGTTGTACGCTCCGGCCTTCTTCATGTAGTTGGAATGTCGAACTGAACCCTTTATTTCGCTCAATGTGGTAGATTGTTCTAGTTTCACGTGTGCCATGTTTTTAATGAATGTCAGTTATCAGATATCTCCTGTTAATTCCCCTCTCCAAATTCTCCACTGCCTTAACCAGGTATTGAACTCACACTCTTTGGGTCCTGTCACTGAATCTAACTAACGCCTTTATCCACTGTGCCATGTGTCCTTGAGAACTTGGAGAGGGGAATTAACAGGAGATAACTGATAACTGACATTCATTAACCATAAAAAAAAACGAGGACAACTGAGGATTTGCAAAGTGTTTTCAATGTATTTTTCTTCCTCAGGTAAGTAAAAATGGCTGCAGATTTCTATTGGCACTTAAATATAAACATATTGTTTCCAAATGCGAGCATGGCGCCATGTTACGTCGTGCGAAAATATTTAGTGTCTCTTCAGGACACAGACGATCATGGCTCTCCACATTTTTCCTGTCCTTCGTAGCGTTTAATAAATTTTGTCTTTTTGTTATTTCTCCTAGCCACTGTTCCACCATTTTAGAAATGATGAAATCCTAACAAGAATCTGCAATGTTGTTGGTCCATCCCCGGCATCTCGGAATCAGTCACTTTCCCTCCTCAACTTAACGCGGTATATCTTTTCTATAAATATGTTTCATTGTAATTGTTCTAATGAGCTTCTTCTTCTTCTTTTTTATACCTAGACATTACGATTTTAAGATTGGCGGCAAGGTCTCATCATTTTACAGTTGAAATGGCTAAATGAAACCGTAAGTTCTATGCTAACAGTTTCTTCTATCACACTTCTCACTGCTCTTTTGACTTCTTGATCATCAGCAATTTAAGTGCAATGTCAATCGTTATCTTCTGTCTTATTTATTATCGTTCTTTTATTGTCTTCTTTCCTTAAGCCTTTGAGTCCCGACCACCGCTTTACAATGAAATGACACAATGCCCAGTCACCGGTTGAACGTTGGTTAAACACTTGCGTTGTGTTTTACTATTGGTTGTCTTATTTTCATAAGAGCCAATCAGAAAAGCCGTAATATTCTGATGTCATCGAACGTTATACCAACATATCGACGCCTTTTCATTGTGTTTTGTGCATGTGTTTTGGCTAAAAAAAAAAGTCGTTTTTACCATGAAGCGTGCAAAATTTTAATCTGCACCGCCAGGGAAGTCTCAGGAAGATACATATTTGTAACTAGTTTATATCTAATGTTAAAAAAAATTACATACCAATTATCTGCGAATTTTGACACAGGAGCTCAGGCAGAAGGGTTAAAATTGTTCAGGAACGCAGGGATCAAAGGGTTAATAATGTTGTCCCTTATTCTTTAACATTCAGTAATCTCCTTGCGTCTTAATGGCTTTAGTGCCCTGCCTGGGGTGAAACGATTAAAGAAAATGCATGCCCGGGAATCAATCCACGTTGCTATAAAGGATATTTGAAAGCTTTCCAAAGATTTTATTCTTATTTTTCCAGTTAACATTGATCTTCAAAAATTAAATATAATGTCAATCGTTATCTTCTCACTTCTTAATTTTTTGTTCTTTTACTGCTCTCTCTCTCTCCCTCTCTCTTTTCCTCTCTCTCTCTTCCTCCCTCTCTCCCTCCCTCTCTCTTTCCCTCTCTCTCTTTCCTCTCTCTTTCCTTCTCTCTTTCCCTCTCTCTCTCTCCCTCTCTATTTCCTCCCTCTCTCCCTCTCACTCTCCCACTCTCTTTCCCTCTCTCTTTCCCTATCTCTCTTTCCCTCTCTTTCCCTCTCTCTCTCCCTCTCCTTCTCTCCCCCTCTCTCCCTCTCTCCTTCTCTCCCCCTCTCTCCTCCTCTTCCCCTCCCTCTCTATCTCTCTCTCCCTCTCTCTTTCCCTCTCCCTCTCTCTTTCCCTCTCCCTCTCTCTCCCCCATCTCCTCCCTCTCTCTCCCCCTCTTCCCCTCCCTCTCTATCTCTCTCACTCTCTCTCTTTCTTTCTGATTTAAATGTTTTCTTTTTCTTATATTCTTTCACACTCAGTTGCGTCTTAGTGGCTTTATAATCTTGCTTTGGGTGAAATGATTTGAAAAAAAATGTTTATGTCCTTATGTAAGGATTTAATGTCTAATTTACCCGTGACTTTATTTGTCATTTCTTGTGGTTTTCGATTAGTTAGCAAGAAATGTTTGAGGTGTGAAGGTGTAATTGGTCTTAATTGTTTAAATCTTTCCTCAGGAATTTCCTAATTAATGAGGAGCGCTGCCGATACCAGAGACATTATTACACTTGGGAGTGTAAGGCTTGTGTGGTTTTTGTAAAGCAGAGTGCCTACTTCTTGGCGAGGGCGGGAGATAAAATACAGAGCCTAATTATTTGGGGTGGCGATAAAATTCAAGCAATCAAAACACTGTTTCGTTTTAATTTTTAATTAGGTTTTAATTGATTTGTTGAATTTATGCTTCCATAACAATTTAGTTTTTCCCGTATTCTTTTCTACAAATACTTTTACGGTAACTGCTCCGACGAGCTATTGTTCCCAGACTGCTACCATGCTGGTATCACGGTCCCACGCTTTCACTATCGAAATGGTTAAATGTGTCCGTCTCTTCTACTCCAATAGCTTCATGTCTCGCACCTCCCGTCTGTGGAATTCCCTTCCTATTACTTGTTTCTCTGATAGCTATAATCTCCAACCATTCAAATGTAATGTCAATCGACATCTCCAGATGCCCTGACCTATCCCCTGTCCTTCTCTTCTTCCTTTCCTCCATCACGCCTCTTTACTCTCGCTCCCACTCTGTAACCGCTTGCTTACTAGTAGCACCCGCCTTACTTAGGGTGAAATAATATATATATATATATATATATATATATATATATATATATATATATATATATATATATATATATTAAAGGGAAGAGAGAAACAGCAAAAGATTTTTGGTTATAATGGATTTTTAAAATGTATATTATACTTTATCTTCCATATTTTTGCTACACGGGTTTCCGGTCTCGCGACCTTCATCAGGCAAAAAGTGGTTATTTCCACATATTATTAAAAGGAATTGATTAACCATTGTCTTGTGCCAAGAAAATTTGGATTACTACTACACACAAAAGACAATGGCTAAACATCGGAAAACATAAGGAAAATTAATTCCTTTTAATAATATGTGGAAATCACAAGACCCGAAACACTATAAACTCTTCCGCTGAAGAAGTAATTAATTCAACTTATTTTTTTTTTTAAAATATCATATATTCAGCTTATTTTTTTTAAATATCACCCCCCCAAAACATCAAATTTCTAGAATCATATATTCAGCTTATTTTTTTTAAAAATATCACCCCCCACAACACGAAATTTCTAGAATCATATATTCAGCTTATTTTTTTTAAATATCACCCCCACAAACATGAAATTTCTAGAATCATATATTCAGCTTATTTTTTTAAAAAATATCACCCCCCACAACACGAAATTTCTAGAATCATATATTCAGCTTATTTTTATAAAAAAATATCACCCCCTACAACATGAAATTTCTAGAATCATATATTCAGCTTATTTTTTTAAAAATATCACCCCACTCCAAAACATGAAATTTCTAGAATCATATATTCAGCTTATTTTTTTTTTAAATATCACCCTCCCGCAACACGAAATTTCTAGAATCATATATTCAGCTTATTTTTTTTTTTAAAAATATCACCCCCACAACACGAAATTTCTAGAATCATATAATCAGCTTATTTTTTTTTTAAAAAATATCACCCCCCACAAAACATGAAATTTCTAGAATCATATATAAATATAGTAGTACTATGACTTTCTGAAGCCTGCTAGAGTTTCTGGGACATTCTCGAATTCCCAGCGCCTTCTAGAATTTGTTTTAATTTATCTGTAAGGTTGTATTTCATGATATAGCTATAAACTTTTAACTACGTTAAAAATCCATAAGTACAAACCAATTACATATTTAGCAAACTGACGAATAAACCTTCTAAAATATTTTGATTTTCTTTGCGTATATGGCAAAATTGAAGTTTCGGTTTGCGGGGTGATCTTTTTCAAGAATTAAAACAAATTATTCCATTTATTCATTTCTTTTGGTCAAAATTGAGACGATTTATGGCACAAGAATATAGAGTGACAAAATGTTATACCACTAATATATATATATATATATATATATATATATATATATATATATATATATATATATATATATTAATCGAATTAATCGAATTCTCCTCAAGAAAGGCAGTAAAGCCACTAAGGCACAAGGGTTTACTGGGTCTGGAAGAATTAGAAAACAGAAACATTTCTAAGGATCGGGAACAACAGAAAAGTAATCAGGAAGATATATATATATATATATATCCTTTTATGGCTAATACCTTCCACCTTCCCCTTGCCACTTACTTGAACATTTCGTCTGAAACATCGAAATGGATAAATTATGTATGAATTTTTGAACTGCTGTCAAAGTTAACCTTTAAATTTCTAATTCCGACACGAACACCGTCTATGCACCAGGGTTGAATAAGACTAACATACTTCTCTTTATTTGAAATACAACTAATCACCCCCATATGAAGTAATTTTGGATTTTGTTGTATAATTTATATGCTCTTTAATAATACATTGAGCTCTTTTTGTGGACCAGTTTTAACATTTGATATTACTAGGATCCACCTGGATTATACACCAACGGATTTATTACCAGTACTATATATATATATATATATATATATATATATATATATATATATATATATATAGGAGAGAGAGAGAGAGAGAGATTAGGAGATTAGGAGATTAGCTACCCTGGTTTGAACTTTTCGGTATATTCAGGCTATTTCGCTCAACTGATCTCATAAGACTTTATTTAAAAAATTAAAAAAAAATTATGAACGCTGTTTTTAAAAATGAAATTAATAAATTAATAAAAATGAAATTAATAAATTAATAAATGAATGAATGAACGCACAAGCGAGAGATGATTGTGTGTGTGCGTCTAACGGTCTGTATGGATATAAAATCTAAGCAAAATGCGTAAAAACAGATTCCTACCCAAACATGACTCTTAGTTCTTCGAGCAGAACGATTATCGATTTATTGATTGTTTTTTTTTCTTTGTTTTTTTCTAGAAATGAGGAATTATTGATGAGCTCCTCCCCCGCTTTAGCTCTTGATTCGATTTGGTATTCATAGACATGATTCTGTCGATTTTTATTCCTTGTTTTCTAACGGAAGTTAAATCTATCTCTTCTAAAAGCCGCCAAGTCCCTGTAGCCTCCTAACGAAAGTTCAATGTCGGGAAACGTTATGCACCAATCAACATCTTTGTAGTCATCCATACCTATAACTCTCTCATTGATTATTCAACAGTAATGGCGTTTTGGTGTCAGTCCTGTAATATTTGCAACTTCTGTAGTTAATATATGAGGATTGTTAACTCTCCTAATCCATGCAGCAAGTCTAGCTATTTAATTATCTTATTCCGGTATAGTCTTTGCTTTATAGGCAGGTGATTACCAGTGTCGGTCCTTATCAGCACCGTTTTTTTTCTCTGGCCTAAGTCAGCGTAGGAGTCAGCCACCACGTGTCTTTTGTCCCTTATAGAAGGCAGGATACTCCCTTTGTGCGTATGTAAAGCGGGACTGCGAGACAACCGCTAGCTTTCCGCTAGTTTAATAATTAGGGATGGACAGGCTTGTAATGTAGCGGTTACTGAAACTAGGATTGGCGTGTCGACATCAAATTCCAGCTGAATACGCACCCCCACACACACATATGTATATATATATATATATATATATATATATATATATATATATATATATATATATATGTATGTATTAAGACATTTTTATGTTTATACGTTCTTTTTTATAGATACAAATATTTAAGTAAATTCTCTGTTTATAATAAACAGTATTAACGACATTTACCGGCCTGAATGTCCGAGAAATTTTCATAGAAAATATGCGTCTTGAAATAATTAAATTAATTACATTAATTAAAAATGTCTTAAAATAATTGTCGGACTTTGTCCATTTCATAATGTGTGACGTCATTTGTTTACATTTGGATACGCATCGAGCAGATGTGAATGTACGAGAGAAAATCATGGAGAATTGTAGTTTAAAAGCAGTAAAATCGACCTTGCTAACCGAAACGCTCCTCTGTGGCTAAATCGGTAAAGCACGTCAGGCTATAACACAGTTCCTTATAGGATACAGGTTCGATTCCAGTCAAAGCATAAAATAATTGTTGGACTTTGTCCATTTCATAATATATATATATGTATGTATGTGTTCAGCAAATATTCAAGCAAACATATATTTGCTTAATTTTGTTAATCATATTTTCCCAATTTTCGGATGTTTTGAGTATTGTGGTCAAAGCTGGAAACTGTAAAACTATAATGAAAAATAAACAGACAGACCTTGTCGCTTCTTTTTAATCAAACTTGTTTTGATGAATACTTTCTACCTTAAAATACCTCATATATATATATATAAACTACTACATCAATCAGCTAGAGTTTTAGCGGGGAGTCTGATATGATTAGCCATTGTAGCCAGACAAAAATAAACCCAACACACCTTTACACGACTCCAAAAACTTGACATACCACAAATAGCCCTACATCCATCAAAGAAGTGACCCCTTGATCAAGATAAATCAAATCCTAGACCACACCTCCATTCAAAACTATGAGTCAAACATTCCATACCATAGTTATTCTAAAACAATACTTGAAGATGAAACTGCCACCCGGTAGTTAAGGTTTAATATTGAAATTAAACTTAAATACTGCTGACTAGTTTCGAAAGACAGTAATTTCTGTATCGCGATGTAATCATAATTTTAAAAAAAATAATTATATATATATATATATATATATATATATATATTAATTCACCAGGCTTGAAGAATCCTCAACAGAAAGCACGGGGGGGGGCATTTCGCTCTATTTTGGTGATTCATCAGAAGTGCGGATCCACTACCGAGATTCGAACCCGAAGC